GTTCTAGTTTCCCTTGCCTTGTTTCTATTTTTGGTAACAGACTTAATCTTGGGAATCGTTTAATTCCCAGAAGTTCACTTACTGAAAGCCCTGAAAGCCAACAGGCAGGATCTCTCCTACTTTATCTATTTATGTATGTATTTATCTATCAAATTTATACGCTGCTCAGCTCATGATGAGAGGTGATACTGAACGGTTTACACATACATCTGCTTCCCTCCTGCTTTCCTTCTTGACCTCATTTCTACGCATTTCACAGCCATGGAGAGTCACTTGCCTTCTCCAACCAACAGTATTTAGCCAACATCTTCTCAGTAGCTATTCCTATTGCCATGGCTAAAATGGTTCTGGTGTTTTAGCATTGTTGGCTGAAAAACCAAGGAATAGTGTATAGGAGTGGCCAGGGAGGAGTTTGGCCAATTGTATCATCCTTTCTTATTCTGTTGTCCAAGTTGCTTAGGCACTTCTCCCCTGTTCCTTAAGTAAGACATGTACTCACAATCTAGAGATATTATGCTAGAATGTAATGAATGCTCTATTGCTGTGATGTCAAACCTATGGCACGCGTGCCACAGGTGGTCCGTGAAGCCATCTCTGCGGGCACGTAAGCCATTGCCCTCTGCCTCCTCCAGCCTGCATTCCTGCACTGGCCAGCTGATTTTTGGGCTCTCCAGAGGACTGGAGAAGACCGTTTTTGCCCTCCCCAGGCTCCAGGAATGTCTCTGGAGCCTGGGGAGGGCAAAAAAAACAGGCCCACTGGGCCTACGTGAAGTTCAGAAATGGACCATTTCCAGGTTCCAGAGGGCCTCCGGGGGAGGTCATTTTCACCCTCCACAGGCTCCAGGAAAGCCTCTGGAGCCTGGGGAGGGCAAAAAATGGGCCTACTGGAAATTCGGAAACGGATTGTTTCCAGCTTCCTGAGAGCCTCTGGGGGGTTGGGGAGGTCAAAACGGCCTCCACCCACCTCCTGGAGGAAATATCATGCTCAGGTTGGCAGTGAGCAGTGCACCAGCAGTGCAGTGCAGTGTGTGTGTGTGTGTGTGTGTGTGTGTTGGTGTGGTGTGGTGGTGGTTGTGTGCATATGCGTCCTGTGGGGGAGCATTGCATTATGGGTGCCAGCACACATTTTTTGTCACCCAACAACAAAAAGGTTAGCCATCACTGCTCTATTGGCGTATTCTATCTTTGCCTTGATTACATGGGCTTCCTGGTTCTTTCTCTGGCCAGAAATCTACCTAAAAATCTTTCAACAAATTCTCTTAGGGGAAAAAGCCAAACCAAATCCATTTTAAATATGCCAGTATTAACGATCCTTCTAAACATCAACCTTGATTCTCGTTTTTCTAAAAAAACATTGTTGGAAAACTTTGGGGCCAAATTCTCCTTTTTCCCTCACTGTCCCACCTTCAAAGTTTGGAATGGCATCGCAGAGTTCTCCCTTTGGTCACCTGCTCATGGAGGATTCAGAAAAATGAAGGTTCTGTTCCTTTCAATTATCCAAATCACAGTCATTTATTTGCTGACTTTATGTTAATTCCCTTGGGACATTTCAGAAAACTTTCAGAAAACATGTCTTGGTATCAGTATCGGGCTTGGCGTCAATGTTGAGTGGAATCTGATTCAGAAGTGCTGAATTCATAAGCGGTTCTACAGACAGAAAGTGAATTTGGGAAGGTGATTTTAAGACAAGCAGGGGCTCTATTTGTTTCAGATGGGTAGACTATGTATGAATCTGAAGCTCCTGTCTTAGAAGAGATTTTGAATTCTGATACCTCTTCATGTAATTCTTTGCCAAAAAGCAGATGCTGAAGAGAAGGCTCAGACAGGAGCACAAATCATGTTGCTGAATTGTTTAAGACAAGCAGCAGCTGAGTTTTTCTCCCACAGATGTTCTGTATGAAACTATTGACATCTCTTTGTTGAAGAGATGTAAGATTTTTTGATCCTGGTTCAAAAGCAGATGTCACAGAGGAGGTTCTATTTGGAGCACGTCATGTTTCTGCGGATCATATTTATACTTCTTTTGTTGCCACAGAGAGTCTATGGGATGCCCAAAGCCAAATGCCTCCTGGCTCTGGGACAGGGGGAAGTAGACCCACAGATTCATTACAAGCCAGGAGATTATTCCATTAGTGGCATAGTCTCTGCGATGAAGGCAAGATGGGAATCACTGAGCTTTGATAGAAGCCCTTCAACAAAATTCACACGGTAAATCAATTTCCCTGCATTGAATTTGACCCCCTCTCTTTCCAATGAATGTCTACGGTTCCCCCCCTCTGAGAAAACAAGGAGCTCTCCCCTTGATCTGCTTCTATTCTTAATTTACTTTCTGATTCTAGTTTAAGGTCCCTATTTACATCCAGAATAAACAAATGCTGGTAGTAAACAGCTTTTCTTTAGCTATCTGGTAAATCACCCACCCTTATTAAGACAGAGGGAATAGTCTAGCAGAAGAAGGATGAAATAGTTTTAGTGCTGTAATATTTTTTTACCATTTTTATT